GCATTTATTTAAAACCGAAATCTTGTGTTACATTGTCAATGTCTCTACTGTTACTTTTGATCATTGTAATGTGTGTGTATATACACATCGCGATTAATCCCACCTAACATTAAAGTTTTTAAATATACTTTTATATTTCAATAATTTCACATTAAATCATCAAATTAACGTAGAAACAACATAAAGACAGTATATTTTTAATATTCGTTTAATGGCATCTTTTTTTTTTTTTTTTTAAGACTGAAGGCGAGTATAACTGATACCAATACTAGTTATTGTATTTAAAATAAGGAGTATTTATTTTTAAGTTAGTAAGTTATTTTTCCCTAATATTTAACCATTGACTGTATGTAATGTTGACTATACTAACATTACAGTATAATTGAGAGCTATCAATTTTAACATTTATTAGACTTCAAAAAATAACTTCTAATTTAAGTGAACTTAAATCAGTCTTCACATAAACTCATTATAATAGATGTCATATTTACCTGTGCCCTTCAGCAAGTAGGAAATATACAGAAAATGAATAAATTTATCAAACACTAAATTCTAAATGATTTTTCGTTTGTTCTTTGATTAACAGACATCACAGCAGCTGGGTTATTAGGTTATTTGGCTGCTATTACTTTAAGAGCTGCCGCTGCTCAATGTGACGCGGATCTGACACGCATGCTCATAGTTTTATTCACACTTTAATATGAAATGATAAACACCACCCACTGCTACGAGCACAGTTTAATGACTGACAGGACAGGAAAATTAGTTTTTATTGACATATAGTGATTGAAATTTTGATTCTTTCAAGAGATTCGTTCATTTTCAGTTCGTTCACTAAAATGATTCATTCAGATTCGTTCACTGATTCATTCAGTGACCATTTCTTCATATTACATAAATACGCCAGCAGGTGGCGAAAAAGAGTGTCTTATGTGTTATGTTTTAAGTCGACGAATGTATTCACCTGTTACAAAAACTGATTTGGCTTTATTAAAATGTGTGCATAATCTACTCATTAAATAAATAAAGTCTAAATAAGTTGTTCAGATGACCAAAGCACAAGGTTGTCTTGCATAATTAACATTTTAATTGTTTGGTCAGACAATTACACATTCATAAATCGGGGATTAACGTGGAGTTATGTTCTGTATGCTAAATATTAATTATAAACAAGCGTATGTGCACAGTACCTATAACTGCGCTTTGCATTCAAATACTCGACAACGGTTTGCACAATAGCGCACTTTTCCAACCATGATTATTGGTGATTATCAAACCATGAACCCTTTACTTGTGTGAAAGGGTCTAATTTGTCCCATGCTCCTCTAATTGCATTTGTATTCACATACATCTATGTGTTTGGTATAGTAAAGTTATATGAACCAGTGATCCTCTTTTGCTTATGTACGCTCCATTTTTGATGGGCTTCCAAGAGAACAAATATGCACTTTCTTGTTTTGAATGAAAGAAAAAAACAAATGACCTCTTCATTATTTATACATGTGTAGATATCGTGCACACGTTGTACGACTATAGCTTTAGTTTCATGAGTTTATAAATGGTCTGTTCTGGTCCTCCATCCTCTAATTGAAGAGTTGTTGCTCCAGTGGTCCGGAGGTTCATGTATTATGCATAGAAAACAACTGGGTGCAGGCTACATTATGGTCCCATCATGCTAGCCGGGTCCTGCTGGTATGGGGAGAGATGATATTTCATATAGTTACAGCCTCATTAAGAGGCCACACTAACGGCCAGAACACACACACACACACACACCCTGGACAGCATGCTGTTTTAAGCAACATATTTTTTATAATAAAATAAATAAAATTGCTTTTTGATTATTTATATGGCTAATATAATGCAGACCCCCTATTTGCTGCCATGCCATATGTTGTGTATATGTTGCATTTATTTATTTTTTTAAACAAGAAAGTGCATACTTGTTCCCCTGGATGCCCATCTTGTAAAACAAAAATGGAGCGCACATAAGCAAAAATAAATTACACACACACACACACACACACACACATATATATAAAGGCTACATTATGGTCCCATCATGCTAGCCGGGTCCTGCTGGTATGGGGAGAGATGATATTTCATATAGTTACAGCCTCATTAAGAGGCCACACTAACGGCCAGAACACACACACACACACACACCCTGGACAGCATGCTGTTTTAAGCAACACTGCTGATGTAGCCATGATCCTAGAGATCACCGCTGCGAGTATTGTCTTGTCTCATTGTCATTATGTGATATAAGTGTTGTAAGCCTCAAAACATCACACGGTATGCTGTTCTGAGTGAAGAAAAATAAATGAAATGTCTTGATTTTTTTTTCTATCTCTCTCCTGGGAGAGTTCCCAAACGACCTCCGTTTCATACTGAGATTTTCTGTAGATAATCAACGATGCAAATACTGCATTGCAAGGGATGTCAAATTAAAAGCGCATAGCCTACCTTATTAATCTTTAATATGCCATTAAAGGGATAGTTCACCCAAAAATGAAAATTCTGTCGTTAATTACTCACCCTCATGTCGTTCCAAACCCGTAAGACCTTCGTTCATCTAGAATCATCTAGAATCAGAACATTACAGTTGCGTTGCTGTCTATGCAGGGTCTGAGAGCTCTCACATTTCATCAAAAATATCTTAATTCGTGTTCCGAAGATGAACGAAGGTCTTACGGGTTTGGAACGACATGAGGGCGAGTAATTAATGACAGAATTTTCATTTTGGGGTGAACTAACCCTTTAAGTGAGGTTTGTGAATTTTGTGCTTTAAGGTGACCGAGTGAATAGAGTGAAGTTTCTATTCCAATTTGAATAAGCATTATGTGTCTTCCATAACACTGTCTGCATTATGTCTTCCTTAGAAATGTCCTATTTTAAGAGAGAGAGAGTGACAGAAGCTATTGAAATGTGTCTGTCTGTGTACACCCTGAAAGGCAGCTTGTCATTGGTAGATAGAAATTACAACTGGTGAGAACACATCAATAATTGACCAAGCTTTTATTCATAAAGAACAGGATTATGTAATGAGAAAAGCACTCAGACTCCTTCCTCACACTCCCAGCTCTCATTTGCCGAACCACTAAAGATAGAAATCTTTGCCTGAATAATGCAAACATGCTCCTCGTTCCCGATCCTTTCTGTACACAGACTTTAGCTGAACAGATGTGTGCGGCAAAGGGCAATTTATGCATGTGACAGTCTCTGTGCATTCACCATGACAGCATTAACAGCTGATCTTTAGTTATGTTAACTGTGTACAAAAGACAGAGCTGTGTACAAAAAACATGATGTTATAATAAACAATAGAGAGAAAATCATGTCTAATCATCCATCCATCTATCTATCCATCTATCCATCTATCCATCTATCTATCTATCTCGACTGCCAGATTGTACTTTCCTTCATTCTTTCTGCATTTTGCCACTTTAAATTTTTCTTAGATTTAAATGTATTTAAAAGGTACAGTACTCAGAAGATTTCTCTGTTTTCTCTAATTTGGCATTAGAAATTAGTTATTTTGCCAGCACATTTATATTTAGATTGGGTCTGAATTAGCAGGATATTTCAGGCTCTTTCGTCCTTGTCCATTTGCATCATGTCTGTAAGCTAAGAAAAGAAGATCTGGTTATTATGACAGCAGGTACTTACTGTACATGCTCAGATATACATCTTGTAAGACTTTCCTCTGCAAATAATCTGTGCTTTCAATCACAGATGTTGATAGAGAACCCAGAATTCTGGAATGTACCAAAGTAGTTTGCTTATTGTATTTTATGATGCACTGTTGTGTTCACTAACTAGCAAACTTCCAGTACTATTCTGAGAGCTGGGGCTAAAGCACTGTGCTGACCAGACATGAGTTAAATGGTTTGGCCTCTGAAAGCGAGAATGTGCAGTGTGTTGTGTGAAACAATAGCAGCCAATCAGAACATACTTGGTATTTAATATACAGTTATGTGCAGCATAGTTTGGACCATTGAGATTTCAGTATGGGCAGGGCTAATCAGTGTGACACAGCATGAAGAGAAACAGAGCAGCTGACAAAATATCACTAACCAGAACCATTAATATTTCCCTGTTTCTCACATTTAGAAATGCTGGTAATATCTCAAATGCACAGATAATAATAATAAAGAGTTCTCTGTGAAGTTGTCTTGTTGCTTGTCTGCTGTAAAATGCTGATTGTAAAAGAAGCGAGGGCCACAAAGGCAGCGTGAATAGGACTTGCAATGCGACCTGTTTATTGTTATTAATTGCCCACTGCCGCCCACCGTCCAGGGCCTGGATGAGTCAGACAGGAAGGGCTACTTTATTTCTCTCTCAGACTCATGCGCAGCTTCCTTAACTCCCCTGTCATCACGGCAATGATTTAATTAAACCAGCCTGCTTCCCTCAGCCTTCTCGCCTCAGACCAGCCTCACGCTGACTGACAACCAACACATTACTATGCACAAGCAGCAGGAGGGCGGCTACGAGCAGATATGAATGTATGAATAGATAGGATAAAAGGATGGAGTAATTGATTTTCTATCTGCTCTTCCATTTCATTAACTGAATAAATGTACTTGATTTTGGGCAGTTTTTTGGCTTGTTCAAATCAGCCCCTTTGTTCCATTGTTATTCTTGTCATTGTTGGTTGACTCTTGTTTTGGTAGCATGATAACGTTGCAGAAAAATAAGCTGTTTTGTACCTAGTAGAATTAGGAATGTGCGGGTGCGTTCCCATGATCCTCGGCAGTTCTGAAACAGTTCTATATGTCATTCTCTTGTATGACTTGCCTTTGAAGATCTGACAGGAAGCTTTGTTTTGTTGTTGTTTGTCATGTGGGATTTGTCCTGGTGTTAAGCAGTGTCACAGTTTTAATTGAAAATGTGTGTTATCTACAGTGGCACGTATTTACATTATGAATTATACACACAGAGCTTTAAGTTTTTGACAATGTATAGACATAAACCACTCTGCTTTTTTCTTCTTTCAGATGTGATCCATACTGTCGGCCCAATCGCCAGAGGAAATGTGGGCCAGTCCCAAAGAGATGACCTCGAATCATGCTACAAATACTCCCTCAAGCTGATGAAGGACAATAACTTGAGATCTGTGGTAAGTATAAAAGCCTTTAAGACATTACAAACAGTCCACTTCAGACAAGCAGCTCTGTGACTCAGCTGATGCTTTCAAGACCGTGTTTTGAAATCTTGAAGTCAGCAAAATAACAGTTTTGAAGATGATTGTACAATGGTGGTGATGCTGTAAGACATGCTCCCTTGTTTGCGCATTTTGTGTCGATCGTTGGATGGTTGCAGCACAGCCTTTCAGCAGGGCCTGAGAGAAAAATGTTGATAAAGATACAAACAGGCAACATTTTCTGTTGGTTTCCACAAGGGTTTTAGTGGTTGTGCTGTCGTGCCCTCCTCAGTGACTAACAGTTGCTCTTGTTGTTGTTGCAGCATTAATTCTCACATTTTGTAACATGAAGCAGATCTAAAGCCAGATGTTGAATGTAATTCACACTTGGGTGATTTTTACATGCTTTGTTTTATTTTAGACAGTCTTTGTCTTTTGATGAAAATATTTCTTAAATGTCCTTAAATATTTCATCATTTCATATTCCGTGCTTCTATTTTATAAATGCATGTTACTGATCTTATTGTGAATAATTCATCAAGCATGTGTCATTTTTATTTTTACATTCTTTTGGCCTTCTGGTGAAATGGCACAATACTCTTTGGTACTCTCTCTAAAACCCAATCTCTTTTTACCTTAATCTACCTCAAACTCACATTCAGCTGATCTACTTCCATTCAATAATCAACCGATGCTTAGCATCAAGTCCCAGTCATAATTTTTTCTTAGTCAGTAGTCCATTGCACATTACAAAGATCTATCACTACTTCCGTTTCATCATTATTTTTCATTTTAACTTTACTCTAAAACTGAGAAACCATAATCGTAGCAATTGAAAATAACATTTTGTTGAGAAAATGCTAAATTAAGCCAAATATTCAAACATTCCTGAGCGCACAATTGAACAACAATAATTTTGTGTATGTTTTATGCTTCGGTAATCCATTTAGCTATCCGTTGTCCATGTTTTAAATGTTTTAGTGTATTGTTACAGAAAGAGTGTATCTCAAAAATAATGCTTTATATACTGTATAGTACTTTACAGGTGTGTTCAAACAGGTCAGTTCCCAGCATTATTGACTATGATTGGAATACCTAAAACAATTAGTCAAAAACATTTTTAGTCCGTTGTTAATATATTGCGGTGTTATTTTTTCTTGTCATAGTTCTGTCAAAAGTATGTTTTAATTAAAGTCTGTTAATTATCATCATGATGCTCATTTTTTGGTGACATCCTAATTATTGCTTAGGAACATTGGATCAGAACAATTTTAGTTGCATCGCTATATTTTGAGTGCAATTACTGAGTTTGATAAGCTTTTTCATGTATATTTAAGTGTCTGAGTCAATTATTGCCAACTAACTGGCAAAACATTTCCCATGAAGTCATGGAAGGAAATTGATTTTTTATTCTTAGTAAGTCGTAACAAAGGCATTAGTTTGCTCTCTAGTTTTTAAAGAACCAAGCACACTGTATGTCTTACAGCCATTGACACAGCTGGAATGGATAAGGCTCATATTTTCCATATTGCAACTATGTTCAGATTGTTTCTCAGCTTTGTAAATTACCAGACAACCTCAGGCTTTAATGAAGCTGGCTAAAGACCAGCAGCTTTGGACTGGAAAGACGTAGAGTCTGATCGTGCGCTGTTCCAGCTGCTGACCCTATCTCCACCATCTGGTGTGCATGAGTTATGGATCTGCTTTAATCCATTGTGGCCACAACCAGAGGGGCCGTGCGCGAGACAGACCAATCAGCTCCTCCATCCAGACCAGCAAAGGGCCCTGAGAGGATCTCTCACAATTAGCCATGATGAGACCGTCTTTGCGGGACAAATCGCTAACTTCGGCACTTGATGAACCGCTTTAATCTCACAGTGAGGATGGAGAGGTCTGGCTTTATCATCATTACAAGGTTGGAATGTCGTGGTTAAGGTTGCATGGATTCACTTCTGGTTGCGAGAATTGCGCATGCCTGCCACGAGTGACTGGGAGTTAAGTGCTAATTAGCGATTCTGTTTACTTGGATTTATCTTATGGTGTACACAGACCTTCACAGCTGCAACCCACGTAGAAGGTCTTGAATGAGTCTGGGGGGTTTGGGATATATATTTACTCCCAAAGCATAGCCCAGAGATTCTTACAGGCCTCATTAGGTAGAACAGGAGAAGCCAGCAAAGGGGCCGTGCATCCTTCGCTCTATATTTCTTTCCCGTTACAGTACCCGCTCTCTTACATGCACATTCCACACATGTATTTAGCTTCCCTTCTCTATTTATTTATTCAGTAGTTCACATATTGACGTGAAACAGTGCTCTTCGGTGGGACATGTTTAGACAGCTGCTACAGATTATTGCTGCCCGTTTTGATTGACTGATGTCTGTCCGGTGAGTTTTGCTAGTTGTTATGCTCGAGTGCTTTAGTGTATGCGCACATTTAGTGTTAGTCGCAAATGGTGAAATTATCAGAATTCCCCCATTTTTATGGTCTATGCAAGTGGCTGATTTATAGCAGAGGTTCCAGACCACTTGCCTAGTAGATTAGTGCTAAACTCATTGGAGAATCTGTCACTTAGAAAGGAAGAGTTGTGGATGTTTCTAGAAAAGGAACGGTTCGCCTAGTGGAATGCCGGAGAATTGCAAGGGGATTTGAGACATGAGGGAAAAACTGTTTTAAAAAAACGTAAACATGTGCAACAAAAGATGGGAATTGGATGAGCTCTCAAGCTAATCCTTGTTCTTGAGAGCCCAAAGACAGCCCCTGAGGCAGAGAGAGATCTGAACATGTGCTACGCAGATAAATTCCCCTTGATTATCTCAAGCGATAGAGACCCGTGAACATATTTTTAGGCAGGAGGAATCCAGTGCTGAAATGTTAGTATGAGGACCCTCACTTCCTTGCTTTTCCCCCCTCGTTCCTGAAAGCATAGTTGAAATTGATTGGATACATGAGTGCAAGTTAACTGTGAAAATAATCTTAACATAATTTTGTGAATTACAGTGAAACTCTACTGTCATTATTAGTAGTAGTGATTTCAGTAGCAGTAGTGCTTTAGTGATTTCAGTAGTGTTTTACAGTAGTAATGTTTTGTTTCTGAACACCATATGCTGAACTGAATGCTTGTTTTTTTTGGTCATTATCATTGATACCATTTGTATCACCCTGAATATCTTTAGATAGGTGTGTTATTTGCAGGACAGGTTAGAAGGTAAGCATCGATGCGCTTGTCGCTTGCCAACAAACACTCCTGCAGATTGGGATGAGTAATGTTTTACTGGAAGCGATAGCTTAGGGCACATTAGTTTAGCATGACACCTGTGTTTGCTCCGTGAAGCTGAATAAAGGATGAATCATCTTCATCTTTAGAAATGACAAGCCCTCACAGCCAAGATTCTTAACCTCCAGAATGTGGTTTAACACTTCTTGGACCAGGAGCAAGAGATGGAAGACTCTCACTCTTCATCTCTGTCGGGTGTTGCGGTTTCTGCTCTGTTCAACATTAATACTGGGAAAGATCCGGAGTAAACCTAGTGAGGGTTTGAGAGCAAGAATGAGTTTGATTATAACACTTCCGTGTGATTGATCTATTACTTGGTATTATTTTATTTTTTAAATATTACGTTTTATTATTTTAAGTTTTAAATTTTAGTTATTTAATTATGTAGTTTTTATTAAATAAAATTGGATTTTTAAAAGTGTTTAGTATTTCAACATAAACTTTTGTTTCTGTAAACTACCAATTTCCAGCATTTCTGGTTTTCGTTTAAGTTTTTCATCTAATATTTTTTATTTTATTTTATTTACAATCTGTGCATCGACCTGTCGGTCTATTATTCTCTCTCTATAAGTCTACAAACTTTGAAACTGTATGGCTTTTTAAACTTTTTTCTTTTTAATTTTGCAGTTTCTATACTTAAAAAATAGTAATGAATTTCTTTGATTTTCAGTTTTTTTTTTGTCTTCATAACTTCTTCAAACCACACCATACCTATATATAATGCCGAACTCTTATTATTCTATTTATTCTACTTTTAGTTCTTTTGTGTTTTAAAAGAAGTGTGCTGCTGTGTGTATGTGAGAGAATGTGATTAAAATCCAGCATATCCGGTCACACGGCTCCCATGTGAACCCCGGATACACACTCCCACTCCTGTGCTCGGCTCGTTTCTGCGACCGAGTGAGCAATCTGTCACGTTCCCCTGGAGGCCCGTTGGAGCCACGTGTGACCGCGGCCTGGTCTGAGGACATCAGCAGAGCTAACCGCACTCCAGAATGCCAGCATGGGGAATAGTGGGAACTGTGGCTCTGGTGAAGTGCATTTACCATGCACCCATGAAGCCACAAAATGCTCTACGGCGCTGAGAACCGATAATTTATGGTGGCCCTTGTCTCGATCGGATGGCTAAATTAAAAAAATTGCTGCCGCAAAGGCCTCTGCTTATGTGCACCGTAAGTGGTGCTCATATGGGCGGTGCTGTGGTAAAATGAAAGGGACTGGTGAGTACAGATCGCAAAATCAGTCAAGATAATAAAACTGTCTAAATGGCCTGGGTGGGAGGAGTTTTGCTCTAGTGTTCTGTCAATAAGTATGAGAGCCAAGAGACATTAAATGCACGACACTTGCTGGGGTATTTTGGGATAGCGAGCACTTGGGGAAGCAGTAGAGGTTTTTTATACCATTGTTAATGAGAGAAGACTTGATAACAGTTGTGAAGAACATAAAGAGAATAGAACCACATAGCAGACAGTGTTGCTGATAAAGCATTCCCACTTTGTGATTAACCAGTTTGTTAATTGTCAGACTTTTTTTAAGCCTGAAGCACCTAAATCACTGGTGGAAGAATGAAAAACACTTGCTGTTTATCTACTCTACCGTTCAAAAGTTTGGGGTTGGTAAGACTTTAAATGGTTTTGAATAAAGGCTCTTATGCTCACCAATGCTGCATTTATTTGATCAAAAAACTATTTTACAATTA